GGGTGGGTGGGGACGGGGGAAGAAATGATAAATAAGCTTTTGGTTTATTTGTTGACTTTCTCTCACCCCTGCTTCACTGGAACTACATGTTGCTTAAAATAGAAGGAATCTAAATGTTGTGTATATGTTATCTTTACATTTGATTTTCTGTCAAGTTTTGCGGTTTTATTAGGCCATTATACTAAATTTATTAAGTGTAATTGTGAAGCAGCGTCCAGTTTGTCCCTCTTTTTCACCTTTCTTTTCCCATTATTTCTTGTTTTATTTTCCCCCTCAAGTAGCTGTAGCCAAAGAGTAACATCAAGCACAGAAAAGTTGTGTATGTACGTGGAGCTAGCTGCGGAATGGAAATAGAAATCCCAGTTTTGTTTCCTTCTACAGTGCCTTCACATGTAGAATACTTTTTTACACTAGAGCCTTGCACCACTAGTGATTGCAACTGTCACTAATGACCCTGTTGTCATTTATCTAGGTCTACACAGCTGTGCAAACTAGTAACAGAGAAACATGACAGGAAGATTAAAGTGTAGCATGTTACACATGTGCACTTAGAAATGTTAACCTTATAAAGTCAGTTATTGAGCTGAATACTTTTCCTCACGTTAGTGACAGAAATGTTAGTGAAAGTTGGAGGGAGAGAAAGGGAGGTGCAAAGAGGCCTTCATTCCACCTTTCTTTATTCAAACATTGAATCTCCACCAGATTTGTTTGCCGTCTAAATTAACTGCAACTTCATTTTTCATTAACCCATTGCCTACTGCTCATATCTTATTGGCTTGTCTGCTTCTTATTAAGCAGAGTTTACTGAAAGCCTTCTCTCTGAAACATAGAACTAAGCCATGGGCTCCAGGGATCATAGGAGTGGGAAGGCATTGTCTTCCCAAACCACCAGCCTAGCCCCAGCCATACTCTGCCCCCAGAATGCTGTAGGTGTACTGGGGATGGAGTGTTGCTGCCCCAGAGCCCTCTCCTCCCTCCCCGTACTCCAGGGCTGGGGAGACTAGGGATGCATGCCATCCGCCTGCCCCATGCTCTGGGACCAAGGAGGCTTGGGTCATGCCCCCACCTCCCAGTGGTGCTATGAGGGGGGTGACTTGGTTCCTGTGGGGGGGAGGGAGGCAGGACCTGGGCAGAAGGGACAGGGCTGGGGTCTTGCCTCCTCCAACCCTACTTTCACCCACAGCCTTGACCCAAACAGCACTTCCTAGAGCAGATTGCAAATTTCATTTTACTGTCCTCACAGAATGAACAGGACCAGAATACCATCTCTTTTAGATTTTGCTTAGCTAACTAGGTAAACATATTGAGGAACAAAAGCCTTTCAATTAGACTTATCCTAAATAGTATTCAGAGAATGGGACACTACGGCTTCTAGTGAACTCATGAATATAAAATATCCTCTACTCTAGATTTTTTTTAAGTCTGTTTTCTGAAGGCCATGTTCCTTAGTACTCTTTGTTGGCAAAATGTAGTTCCTGGTGCTTTATTAATGGTGTTTTCAATGTTATTTACTGGGATCATATCCCTTTTGATTATTTAATTTCTTGAGGCATTGCTTCTTGTATCTCACGTCAGAACCAGTATGGCAACTAGAATTTTAATTTTTTTACAAGCATCTATATGAGCTATGATGTAAGTCCCTAAAATACTATTTTTAAACTGACTTTTAGAATTTTATCTATAGTTTGGGGTGGGCAAACTATGGTTTGTGGGCTGCATCTGGCCCGTTAGCCATTTTAATCCAGTCCTTGAACTCTCTTGTGAGGCTTTCTCTGCTCTGCATGTGCCATGGTTCCATGCAGAGCAGCTCCTAGAAGAAGCAGCATGTCCCCTCTCTGGTTCCTATGCATAGGGACAGCTAGAGGGTTCCTTGCACTGCACCTGCTCCAAGCACTGTCCTCACATTTTGCACTCTCTGGGAACTGTGGCCAATGGGAGCGCAGAGGGTGTTTCTGCAAATGATGCAGCACACAGAGCCACCTGCCACCACCTCTGTGTAGGTGTCAGCCAGAAGGGAGACATGCTGCTGCTTCTAGGAGCTGCTTGAAGAGGTAAGTGCATCACAGAGCCTGCACACTTGAACCTCCGGAGTCATGCTGCAACCTGTCCCCTAATCTCCAGTCCTCCTCCCACCCTCAGAACCCCACAGTCCCACTACAGAACACTCTCCTACACTCCAAACCCCTCATCCCTAGCCCCACCCCAGAGCTTGGCCTCCATGCTGAATCCCTCAGGCCCTACATCCAGTACTCTTCCTCCCCAGCTCCAGCTAGGAGCCCCCTCCCTCATCCTGAACTTCTTATTTCTTTCCCCCTGCCAGAGCCTGCACCCCCTCCTGCAACTCAACCCTAATTTTATGAGCATTCATGGCCTCCCCCATACAATTTCTATACCCTAATGTAGCCCTCGTACCAAAATGTTTGCCCACCCCTGCACTAGATGCTATGCTCTCTAGTGAAAGTTGATGAGGTATCACAGTTGTTATAGAACTAGAGGCTAGTTTCACTGACTTTCTAGCTATATATTGGCTGAGGTGCTTTCCCACAGGGAGTGAGGGGGTGGTATGTATGGTGTGTGTGTTTGGGAGAGCTTAGTTTATTGAGTTTTTGTCTTTTGTCCCAGCCATTTTGTGGGAACTTCTTAATATGTGTTTTTTATGGTGATAAGGATATACCACTAATTTGAGAAAAGAGGTCCTTTGCAGTGATTAGTGCAGTATAGGGTACTGAAGTCTGTTGCAATGCAGAGGTTCTGCTTTTATTGAAGTACCCATACAACTTTTAAGCAGTGTTAGTGGGTACTCTTCGCTTGCTAATAAATAATGTCTTTACAAATAAATTACACATGACTAACACAAACTTAAGTTCAAATTAAATATTTTAAATTGACTAAGTAGACAGTGTCTCTTTAATTTTAGTCATGTTTGTTTAGAAATTTTGTTACATGTGCTACAAGGTACATGTAAGATTGTTATGCAGAAGAGAATTTTTTTTAACGTGCCTACACTGTCTGTATAGTCAGTTTTTTGGTTTAACCTGTACAACCAGTTTCCTCTTTTCTTGTGGGTTTTTCATACCATAAAGACAAGAAAGATACACTGGAAAATAGCACTATAAAACCACAATATTTTAAAGAGATATTAGGAAGTAGGTATAGTATTGGAAACCTTAATTCATTTTTAAAAATAAGCTGAATTTTAGGTTGAGAATAATTTTTAAAATATAATTTGGAGCCTGTTTTCAATTAAACAGAATGTGATTTTCTTAATTGTCTTACAACTATCTATTTTTTAATCCAGTTGCTGAAACAATTTTATGAAATATAATATTGTTCTTTTCTTAAATCAGTCTTTTAAAATCCCTTTTAAGAAAGAACGCTTATGTTTGGAAACAAATGTTTACATGCTAGCAACAACTTTCCCCTTATGGACCAGATTGCTGCTGGATCCAGTATTGATATGTAGTAGGAAAAGGATACAAATAGCGTATTCTAGCTCCTCCCACATGCATATATGTCAGGGCTGATATTGCAGTTCTAGTGCCTGTATGTGTGGTGCTAGCCACTCCACAAAAGGGGCAGAGCTATTACCATGGGCCCCTTCTGTATCACCCAGCAAAAGATGTCTGTAATACTTCAAAGCTGGTAGCAGTAATCATGCTAACCATGTTGCCATAATTGATAAATAGCCTTGTTAATTGTTCAGTTACTAAAGGAAATTTATTATAAATATCTACTACTATGAAGAGTGTTAACTGTATTGTTTTCTTTGTAGATGGAAAAACTGGTGGATTCGTGGAATTTTAACATTAGCTATGATTTCATTATTTTTCCTGATCATATATCTGGGATCATTTATGCTGATGCTTCTTGTAAGTTTTCTAAACACATTTCCTGTGTTAGACTTATTCACCCTTTTCATTCATCAGAATACATAAAATGAATATGAAGGCAAATTATACAGAACTTTCAAATTGGTGAGCAAGTTGTATTTTTTTTTAAGTATGAAAGGTACTGGATTGACATTAACAGATGACTTTTAGCGAATACTGGCATTAGTACTATACATTTCAAGAATTCTTAATTATAATGTAAAACAAGAAGATTTACTTGGCGTTGCTTGGGTCCTTAACTAAAATATGCTTTGTTTTTCTTCATTGGGCGGGGGATGAAGGGCTCGGTATGGAGCAGCTTGGGGCCAGGTGAGAAGCACCTATCCATGGCTGCTGGAAGAGAGCATAGCTGGGGCAGGGGTACATGTCCCCTGACTGGGGAACAAACAGACACATAGACACACAAACTCTTTGAAATATACAGTAGATAGCTGCCCATTTCTCCATCCCTGCCCTCAGCTGGCCCAGTAGCTCCCTAGTCTCCATCTCTGGCCCCTTGCTGCCACCCTTGTAGTCATTCTGTAATATAACTGCCCCTCCTGCCAGACCCCTCCCTTTCCATTTTATGAGAAGCAATTGCATTCCAGGCACATCCCATTGTCTTAGCACAACCAAACTAGGGATGTTAAATTGCGGGTAATTGACTAATCTAACAGTCAATGCATTTTACATTGTCTATTTGACTAGTCGATAGGGCATCTCTGTCTTTGAAGTGCAGAAACAGCCCTAGGGCTGTTGCTACACTTTAAAGGCGAAAGTGCCATGTGGCGCCCGGGGTCAGCTGGGGATTCCCCGCTGACCTTGGGTTCTGTGTGGCACTGCAGCTTTGACATACTGTGGGAATCCAGAGTTAGGCTCCCCGCAATGTTTCAAAGTGGTAGCACCATATGGAGCCCGGGATCAGCTGGGGACTCTCTGCTGATCCCGGGCTTTGTGCGGTGCTGCTGCTTTGAAATGCCCCAAGAAGACTGACTCCGGGCTTTCGCGGTGGCATTTCAAAGCGGCAGCGCCGTACGGAGCCTGGGATCAGCTGGGGACTCCCCAACTGATCCCGGGCTCTGTGGAGCGCTACCGCAATGAAATATTGCTGCGGGAACGCGGAGTCAGGCTCCCTGCAGCAAAGCGGCAGCGTCGCGTGGAGCCCAGGATTAGCTGGGGAGTCTCCAGTGGAGCCCATTCTGTCCATTACTATTGATCAGAACCAGCCCCAAAACTGATTACTGTGGAACACCACTTGTTTTGCCCTTCCACCATGACTGTGAATCATTATAATTACTCTCTGAGAATGGTAATGCAACCATTACACACCCACTTTATAATAGCCTCATCTAGATTGTATTTCCTAAGTTTATTGGTAAGAAGGTCATGCGAACTGTATTAAATGCTTTACTAAAGTCTAGGTATAGCATGTCTACCACTTCCCCCCCTTATCCACAAGGCTTGTTATCCTATCCTATCAAATTGGTTTGACACGATTTGTTTTTTTGCAAATCTATGCTGTTACTTATCACCTTATTATCTTCCAGATGTTTGCAGATGAACACCTTAATTATTTGCTCCATTATCTTTCCTGGCACAGAAGTTAAATTCACTGGTCAGTGGTTTTCTGGGTTGTCCTTATTTCTCTTTTATAGATGGACACTATATTTGCCCCTTTCCAATCTTCTGGATTCTCTCCTGTCTTCCATGATTTTTCAAAGATCATGTCTGATGGCTCAGATGCTTCCTCAATCAGTTCCCTAAATATTCTAGGATGTATTTCATTAGGCCCTTATGACCTGAAGACATCTAACTTTTCTAAGTAATTTTTAACTTGTTCTTTTCCTGTTTTAACTGTTGAACCTATCCCATTCTCACCAGCAGTCACTGTTAGGCATCCAATCACCACCAATCTTCTTGGTAAAAAGGGAAACAAAGTTGTTAAGCACCTCTGCCATTTCCATGTTTTCGGTTATTGTTCATTGAGTGATAGACCTACCCTGTCCTTGGTCTTTCTCTTGCTTCTAATGTATTTGTTGAATATTTTCGTGTAGAATGTTTTCCTGTTACCCTTTATGTCTCTAGCTTGCTTGAGCTTGTGCCTTTGCCTTTCTAATTTTGCCCCTGCATACTTATGTTATTTGTTTAGATTCATCTCAAAAAAGATATATTGGCATTGGAAAAGGTACAGAAAAGGGCAACAGAAATGATTAAGGGTTTGGAATGGACCCCATATGAAGAGAGATTAAAAAGACTTGGAATTTTCAGCTTAGAAAAGAGGAAACTAAAGCTATGTATAGACTGCAGGCTTCTTTCAGAAGAGATCTTTCGAAAAAACTTCTTCCGAAAGAGAGCATCCACACTGCCAAAGTGCATTGAAAAAGCGATCTGCTTTTTTGAAAGATAGCATCCACAATGAATGGATGCTATCTAGCATTTAACCTGTGATTACTATGGACAGAGTGGCCACCAGGGCACCTGTGCTTTTCCCTCTTTCCTCTTCTTTCGGAAGAACTCCCTCTTCCCTGTCCAAAAGACCTCTTTCAGAAAAAGGTTGCTTCTTCATAGAAAGACGTTTACCAATGTCAGAAAAAACCCTCTGTTCTTTTTTTTTCGAAAGAACACGATTGCAGTGTGGACGTAAGTGAAGATTTTTCAGAAAAACAGCAGTTTTCCCAAAAAAACTCTGGCATTGGCCACTGTCAGTAGACAGGATACTGGGCTAGATGGACCTTTGGTCTGACCCAGAATGTCCGTTCTTATGTAATCTTTGTAGTTTGACCTAGTTTGCACCTTTTATAGGACTCATTTTTTCATTTAGCCTCTAAAAAGTGAACCACTCTCACCCATTGCCTATTGATTCAGTTCATAAGAGTTGTCTGCCAAAGATTTTTTTTCCTCCTTGTCCAGCATTGTCAATTGGTTAGGTGTGTTATGGGTTTTCACTTTCTTCTGAAGCATCAGGTGGTGTGCCTTAGAGAGTTCTTTACATAGACATGGCAAGCCTATGTGCTTGTTATGGTGGTCACACTTTAAATACCTTAACTCTAGCTCTGAAACATCCCTAGACTTACTCAAAGTTGTATCAGTGTCCTATACAACCTTGTAATAAAGCAGGAGACATTATCATACTAAATTTAGAATGAGCAATCATGCCACAAAACTCTTTGGAAAATGTCTTTAAAATCCCTCCACCCCAAGCTGTCATTTTCTTTTAAACATCCTTTGACACCAAATGAAATTAATAGACAGCAGGTTTAAAACAAATAAAAGGAAATATTTTTTATACAACATGCAGTCAACATGTGGAACTATTTGCCAGAGGATGTTGTGAAGGCTAAGTATATAACAGGGTTCAAAAAAGAACTAGATAAATTCATGGAGGATAGGTCCATTAATGGTTATTAGCCAGGATGAGCAGGCATGGTGTCCTTAGCTTCTGTTTTCCAGAATCTTGAAAGGCGTGACGGGATGGATCTTTTGATAATTACCCATTCTGTTCATTCCCTATGGGGCACCCGGCACTGGCAACTGTTGTAAAACAGGATACTGGGCTAAATGGACCTTTGATCTGAACCGATATGGCCATTTTTCTATCCTTATGAATGTTGTTTTATCAGTATTATGATATCTTATATTTACTAAGGTTGTCAGTTAGTTGCAGTGAACTCACGTGAGTAGTTAAAAAATTAATTGCAATTAAAAAATTAATCACACTTAATTTCAGTTTTAATAGCACTGTTAAACAATGGAATTCAAATAGAAATTTATTCAATATTTTGAATGTCTTTTCTGAATTTTAAGTACAGAAAATCCCTAAGATGCGACCGCCCGAGTTGCGACCATTTTTGTAAGTGCGGAAGAGGCCAAAAATCCTCGGCCCACATTTACAGTGGCGCATGACACCTATCGTAAATGAGAGTTCGAGTTACAACGCCCCTGACTTGCGATGCTTCCCCAGGAACCGATCAAGTCGCAAATCGGAGACTGCCTGTATATGATTTCTATTACAATACAGAATAAAAAGTGTATAGTGCTCACTTTATTATTTTTATTACAGATATTTGCACTGTAAAAATGATAAACCTAAGAAATAGTATTTTTCAATTCACCTCATACAACTACTGTAATATAATAAAAAATGATGAAAGTGCAACTCACAAATGTAGATTTTTTTTGTTACATAACTGAATTAAAAAACAAAACAATAATCAACTTTTTAGAGCCTACAGTTTTTTTCAGTCTTATTTCTTGTTCAGCCAGTTGCTAAGACAAACAGGTTTGTTTTCATTTATGGGAGATAATGCTACCCAGTTCTTATTTACAATGTTACCTGCAAGTGAAATCAGGTATTTGCATGGCACTTTCATAGCTGGCATTGCAAGGTATTTACATATCAGATATTTAAACATTCATATGCCTTGTCATGCTTTGGCCACCACTCCAGAGGACATGCTTCCATGCTAATGAAGCTAGTTAAAAAATGCATTTATTAAATTTGTGACTAAACTTCTTTGGGGGAGAATTGTATATTTCCTGCTCTGTATTACTTACAGTCTGCCTTTTATTTCATGATATAGCAGTCTGCTAGTACATGTTAATTTTAAAATCGCTCTCACTTCAGATGTGACAAAATGCAAAGAAGGTACCAATGTGAACTTTCTAAAGACCGTTACAGAACCTGACCCAAGGTTTAAGTATCTGAAGTGCCTTCTGAAATCTGAGAGTAATGAAGTGTGGAGCATATGCTTCCAGGAGTTTTAGCAGAGCAACACTCTGATGTGGAAACTACGGAATCCGATCCACCAGAAAGGAAAGTCAACCTTCTGCTGGTGGCATTTGACTCAGATGATGGAAATGAACATGTGCTGGTGAAGAGCAGAACCAGTTCTCAGTATGGGTGCATGTCCTCTGGAATGGTGGTTGAAGCATGAAGGAACATATGAATATTTAGTATATCTGGCACACAAGTCTTCTGAGACACTATCTGCACCAATGCCATAGGAATACCTGTTTTCACTTTCAGATGACGTTGTAAACAAGAAGCAGGCAGCATTATCTCCTGCAAATGAAAACAAATGTGTGAGCGATTGTCTGTATGAATAGTACTGATTGGACTTTTTAGGCTCTAAAGTTTTATATTATTTTATTTTTGAATGCAGTTATTTTTTGCACATAAGTCTACATTTGTAATTTCAAATGTCATGATAAAGAGATTGCACTGCAGTCCTTTTATTAGGTGAATTGAAAAATACTCTTTCTTTTGTATAATGCAGATTTTTGTAATACAAATAAATATAAAATGAGCACTGTACACTTTGTGTATTCTCTATTGTAATTCAAATACACATATTTGAAAATGTAGAAAACATTGAAAATATTTAATGGTTTTCCATTACTGTTTAACAGTGCAATTAATCATGCAGTTAAGCACAATTATTTTTTTATTGATTGACAGCCCTAATATTTAAATCTTGTTGGTACTTTCCCCCCTAGTTTCTAAGAAAGGGGAATCTGTAGATGTTTTAATTCATTCAGTTAACGAAGGAAGAGTTTCTTTCTTGTAATAACTACTTGGAGTATAGTAGTGTGTTTGCGTATGTATTGATGTCTTCTTTTGAGTGTTAATGATGTCTTTTGGTAGGGTTATAACGAGGAAGGAAAAATAGCTGATTGCTTTGGCACATTCTTTGGTATACAGGCAGTCCCCGGGTTATGTACAAGATAGGGACTGTAGGTTTGTTCTTAAGTTGAATCTGTATGTAAGTCGGAACTGGCATCCAGATTTAGCCGCTGCTGAAACTGATCAGTTTCAACAGCGGCTGAATCTGGACGCCAGTTCTGACTTACATACAGATTCAAATTAAGAACAAACCTACAGTCCTTATCTTGTACGTAACCCGGGGACTGCCTGGACATGCATTTTCCTTCCTTCGCTGCCAATAAATTTTTTAGTAGGCTGGCCAGCAGCCTGGCTCAGTCCTGGCTTGCGACAGGTCCAGGA